TTTAGTGGTAAACTACTTGCGGTGCTACTTGGTACCGAACTTTCGTAAGCGACAACCAGGTTGCTTGAAAGATTGTTACAGATCCAAAGCCCCACCCACCCTGCCCGATGCAGTAGGCGGCGCGTTCGTGATCATCCTGTGCGACGGCCGATGCATTTATGCCCTATTTGTGTTGGAGTGTGCTGCTAGGGAGTTCAACGACTAGGAAGGAGAATGATTAGTGTTCTCAACTAAAGTTCTGACAAAAACCCAACTGCAAGGCAGCGGGTAAATTGGAGTGGAGGCCCATCTACTCGTATGAATTACTCCTGGGACATTTTTTACCGACTGAATCACCATTTCGAGTCGAACCCCCAACATGGGGAACCAGCAGACTGATCTTTGTCCGGCATCTGCCCTGTAACCCTCCAAGCATGATCAGATCTTCGGTTTAACAAAGGTCAGTCTGTGTAGCTCATTGGGTCAGTGAGGTACACAAGCCATCACACCACTTCAAGCTGTTGTCTTATCATGACGCATAGTGCACACAAGTACCTCTGTGATTGGCTTACTTTCTCTTGATCTCAATAACTCCTTTCATTCGCTCTACTGATAACGAGTCAAGCAGACATGCTCAGACTGTTTTGTCTGCAATACACTTTTTCCTAAACTGTGTCTGTTCTTACCACCACATCTTGTTTTACCACTCTTCACACTTAAGCAAACATGTTGAGACGCAAACCAATCTCTCTCTCTCTCTCTATATATATATATATATATATGTGTGTGTGTGTGTGTGTGTACACATCGCCCGATGGTAAACTATCTTCCTTTGTTACATCACTCTTACAGGGTGTTTGTTGCATTGATGAATTCGACAAAATGGACATTCGCGACCAGGTGGCCATTCATGAAGCTATGGAACAGCAAACCATCAGCATTACAAAGGCCGGTGTGAAGGCAACCTTAAACGCCCGGACATCGATCTTGGCTGCCGCAAATCCAATCAGCGGTCGATACGATCGTTCCCGGTCTTTACGTCAGAACATTGGTCTTTCGGCGCCCATCATGTCTCGCTTTGATCTGTTTTTCGTGCTGATTGACGAATGCAATGACGTAAGTGTCAAAACTCTTCGTTGCTACTTGCTCATATTTAGTGCCTGTTTCAAATAAGGTTAATTCTGCAACACGGTTCTCCATCTCAATTACTTTCGTCTTGCTTCAATCTGTAGATTGTGGACTACGCCATTGCCCGTTCCATCGTAGACCTGCATATGGGTCTTCAGGGTCCTGAGGATACACAAATGGTTTACTCAGCCGATGATATACGTCGCTACATAGCGTTCGCTCGTTGTTTTAAACCAAAGGTGAGTATATTTCCACGTTCATCTACTGTTCCTAATGGTGGAAACTGGAATCATGGTCCTATTCTCGCCTCTAAGTTATTCTTCACGTAAAGATTCTCAAAAGAGTCGTGATGATATGGCATGTATTGTTCGTCGCTGTCATAACGAATTACGGTGTTGAATTGATGATTGTTTATATACAACATTGCTTGTATGAAAAGTATGAAATCGTGTAGATGAGAGTGACCTAAGGACTGATTGCCATGGTTTTCCCCACCGTTTTAACGGAGTAATGACAGTTGTGCATCATTTAAAAACTCATTTGTAACAATAAAGACGCAAAGGTACTTTTTTTGAATCATTCCACATTGCGCTCAAATGGGTATGGTCTGTTCATCTTATCGGTTCAACTGGTTGCAATCAACGATAATTAAATCATCATTTCATCTTTCTTTCACTTAACAGATCAGCATGGAAGCCATGCAAACGATGGTAGAAGAGTACAAACGGATGCGCCAGCGTGACGCATCAAGTGGTGCAAAGTCAGCTTGGCGAATCACTGTGCGACAACTAGAAAGTTTAATTCGGTTGTCTGAGGCCACAGCACGCCTCCATTGCGCAGATACGGTTCGTTTGTTTTTGTCTTCCACCATTCACGGTGATGTACATATTGTGCCCAAACAGTATTATTGAGATCAGTCATACAACCAGGCGCTGATATTTCCAATTCATGCTGTTCTGTATAATTTAGGTTGTAGAATATACCACTTGTTAAGACTTCGCTGAATGCAATCAGTTTCGTTTTGCTTTTACCTTCATTTGTTTAATCGGCCTGCACCGATTTCTTCAGGTCACGCAAGCCCATGTTCACGAAGCCTTCTTGTTACTGAATAAATCTATTATCCGGGTCGAGCAGCCCGATATCAACCTAGAAGAAGAACAACAATATACTAACCTGGCCCAAGATCCTACGGAGCAGGTGCGTCAAATTTGAATTGGTTATTCGGTGTTCTTGCTGTTGGGTGTCTCACCAATTCTTTCCCCATTTCTTTCATGTAGGTGGAAGGTTCAGAACCATCCAACGCGCCTGGGGAAACTGTCGGTCATTTAAGAGTTACGTACGAGGAGTATCGTCGCATTGCCAGTTTGTTAATCATGCGAGTTCGACAGTGGAGTGAAGTCGAAGAAGAAACTCAGGTACCCGAAGCACTAGATCAAACGGGTACTGCTCCCAAACGGAGCGAGCTTGTCAACTGGTATTTGGAAGAAGTGGCTGATGAATTCCAAACCGAGGCACAACTGGCGGAATGTAAATTATTGGTTGAACGCATTGTAGACAGATTAGTTAAAAAAGTAAGTCCAGACAGTTAAGCTGGCATTTTATTATCTGTGTTATTATTTCTTTGATTTTGAATGTTTCGATCAACACGTGAGTTTAGGTTCATTGCCTGCTCTATCAACCCATTGGTTGGGCGTCAATTTTTAACCGTGACTGACGGTCATTTCTCGCAGGGTAGTTGAAATCGTTGCAGCAAATAACCGAAGGGAAAAGAAGTAATGTTTACGACTCTCAACTGTATCAATTAATATCATACTCCAATCTTCATTCTGCGCTTTTATCCATATGGGCGTCTAAAAGATATCAACCGAAACCGGCGCACGAAAGTGCATGGTTAAAGGCTGTAAAACTGACTTCCTGCCTCAATATATCTGACCATCAGTTTCGCTGATCCCGACGTCCTCATTCAGGAAGCCTAACGCAATCTATGTGAGCAAGTTAGCACCATGGTTGTCTGCNAGCCGGTGCTATATATATATATATATATATATATATATATTCCTGTTTAAGATTTTCATACTCTTATACCGTGTCTTTGTTTGGAAACCCTTTACTTTTTTCCATCAGTCATCTGCCTTGGCAAACAACGCGTGCCGTAGCACGCATAACGCATGCTCCAACCAATGTAGTTTGTAAAGGTCGAGCACTTACTGTAATGGAAAATCGCTGACTTTCAAATAGCGTTTTACTTGGGCAACGGCGAGAGTGCATCCTCGAACAAGGCTTGCTCCGGACTGGACGTTGAACCCCACAATGCAGACATACGTTAACTTCATCGCTTCACTGAATTTGTCTTCTAGGCTTCGCTTCAAACCGTGGACAACTCTACACCGTTCGTACTTCCCTCTGTTTCATCTCAAAACCTCCAACACATTCATTTTCATTGGGAACTTTGACTGTTCCAACAATAGTGTCTCAGATAAAAGTCATCACTATTCTCTGACGTCATACTTCAAGTAGTATTCAAGTTACGCCGAATCCTCCACCAGTTATAGCTCATCATCTTATACCGTTTCTAACTATCCACGTTAAAGGTGCAAACCCTAGTGCGTATGGGTCGGCAGGGTTGTTTTGCTCGTATGCTTGAGCATTCATCGGTGTATGTTGTATTCAAGAGACTTGCATTCAAGAATTCACGTCCATTCGCGAAGTTTCACGTACGATTTTCTGTAATCCCTACGGTTGCGGTTTCTGATCATGCTGATAGCTCGATGCACGCCTTTCAACGAGTACAATAAAACANAATAAAACACGACTGTTACCGCGACGTGAATCCAAACTAAGCCCACATGGAGACCACGAATTACGGTTTTCTCAACGTGCATCAGAAATAGGTGTACTGCCATCATGGATAATTCTCATAGACTGTTCCATCTCATCCAAATCGCCGGTAGAGGAGTTTTGCATGCGATTAAGAGGATGTGTGAAGCCGAGAGGTTGGTTATTTATAATGAACAACGGCATCTTGCATATTGAGCGGAGCCCTTAGAGTTTTATCTAATTACTGGCATCAGATCCCCATAGTTATGGCACAGTTAGATTGTGTACTCTGTTAACCATAGAGGTTCACCTTCTTCCATTTTCCTCAAAATAGGTTTAATCATTGTCAACCGTAGATATTACCACTAGCCTTGTACGCGTTGCAACTTTGGCGGCGATCAGTGGAAGCCGCCCCATTGTATTTTGCTGTAAGATGATAATGATGAGTTATTCTGGCTACACGGCTCATACATACACTGCGTGTGTTTGGTTGACTGGAAGTACTGAGGAATGTGCGTGAGGATGGAGTCTGAACGATGATCAGTTATATCCAATCGATTACACTACTGTCAAACCATGACTTATTTCGTTTACGTTCGTCACCATTATTCATTTAGTCTTTTTTTGCTATTTATTTGATACAATCGATAGAAAATTACGACTAATCCATTGACATAAATTAATCCTTTATTGGATTCCTTTATTACAGGACAATATTCTTATCGCGATTGGTGGCACAGGACTGGACACTGAGTCGGCAGAGGCTGCTGATCCATATCTCGTTGTACATCCCAATTATGTTGAATGAGTGCCGGAATTTCTGTTTTCAACGCTATTTTTATACCAAGATGAGATTCGTATAATCGTTTAATCTAATTTATTACATGTCTCTCGCGGTTTATTTTCTTTTACTCAAATTACGTCAACAATACTGTCGCTATTGTTTTGTGGCTGTTGGATTAACATCGGGAAGATTCTAATAGTGAATAAAGATGGTGGAAACCGACAAAAGTGCACATATGACAGGCTGGGATAAACGCGAGTCCAACTACTTGGGCTAATTTTTGGAATTGAAGAGTAGGAATAATGTAATGGGAACAGCACAACAAAACTCGGTTTCGGTAAATGGGATAAGGAAACATCTTTTGGTTGTTTACAACGCGCAACGATGAACTTTTCTGTTTGAGATTGCACGTGTAAAGTGTTTTCAAACCACCTACTTCGATTCAAGGCCCATATTTAACACGTAACTAATTAAATCGAATTAGCAAAAGTGCCACAACTTATGAAGAGGATGTGAAAAGAGGTTAAATAAAGATCAACGAATAAGAGTCTCACGACAGGTGCACGATTGACGCCGGTTACCAGCCATGTCTGCTAGTGTCTCAAGCCATAGATATTCGCTGTACTTGTTGTCCCAGCCTGGGAGTCTAGAGCGACCCACCAGTGCCAGTTTAGGGGTTAACGCTTTCATCGTTCGAGCCCAGAGTATTCGTTGTCCACCTTGTCGCCACTTCCATTTAGTGTCTGCGTGTGCAAACAACGCGATGGGGCAGTTTTTGAGCCGGCATCCGCAACACATCGAAGTCTCCGGAGCAACATTTCGGCACTCAGAGGACGACTGAGATAGTCGGGCGAAGATTCTTCCGCGGACCTCGTCGTTGGTCATTCCCTGTTGCCAACGTATTCTGGTGATGCAGCGAAGTTAAAGGTAGTCGAAGACTCTTGATTTCCATATATCGTGTGCTTGGAGCGGACATCTTTTAGCCGTAGAATAAGACAGTGTGTACTGTAGCATTGTGAACGCGATCTTCTAAGTGCCGTAGGTTAGCGAAAGCCACTTGAGCCTTGCGGATGCGCGGTGATATTTCTTCCGTCAATCCTCTAGAGCTGAAATAACTCCCGAGATAAGTAAATTGATCGACATCATCATCGAACAACAGGATACATTTAAGCGAACTTAGCTGATCGCTGCCAAACTCACAATATAAGTGAAGCACAAGATGAAGAGGAATTGAGCCTAATTGGAGGGAGGCAAGGAAAGTGAATCACTATGATCAACACAGGGTACACAATCTAACTGTGCATATGTAGCGTTTCGAGCATTCTGATTTGATAAGGGAAGACAAGATCGCCACTGCTGTTGTTTCGCTGCCACATCCTTCAGTGTCTCCAATCAGCCAGTTANACCTATTCTCTATAAAGGCTGTGCATTTCATCAAGCCCCGTTTCCACGTCACCCGTTGATCTCGACGTGGTTTCTTCCAAACTGGAACCTCGAATGCGAATTGGGCGCTGTGTGGTAGTGAAGTCTATCTTGTTAACGCGTTCAAGATTGTGCGTTATTTGAGTCTGCGGCTCAGTCTGGAAGAGGGAAGAGATTCCAACTAAATAGTGTGAATCGGGCATCATACCGATTTACAAGATAGGTTACAGATCCCCTTGTGAAAACCACAGGAATAAGATTAATTACCATTGCTTCTAAACGTTTCATTTGCATTATACTACTTCGATTGTCTGCCACGCGTGAGAACCAGGCTGGTCGAGGTTGCATTGACCACATCTTCTCCAAGTCCCTGAAGGATGTGCCCGAGAAGTTTATTTCAATATTACAATCCCTTTGTACTAAGAGCCGAAGTCGAGTTCGAGCTTGCGGCACTTTTTAGCTGGACTTCTTCATTTTCCATTCGACTCTACTGTCAACTTCCTTGTCTTTCTCTTTCACGTTCATCCAGATTGAGCGCCCGAAAGTGCACGGTTAATGGTTGTTCAAACTGAAAACGAGTCTATGGCTTGCGCACAATTCAAGTCGAAACTTGATGTAGAGGAGGGATTCTCATTAGAGGAGATCAGTGTCAGAGGTATTTTTTGAGCGCAAAACGATTGTGAAAATCCTAAGAAGAAACTGAACCGAGATCAGAATGAAACCAGTAGCAGAGAGTCGTGAAATATTGATATCGATTGAATGGTATGTGATTTCGAGTTGTTTGAATTCCACGTTTAGAATTGTCATTTATAATAAGGCACTTGTCAGTAAACATCGGAGGTACAATTTTTTGACGTATGCCATTGTTCCGATATGAAGAAGGATCCGCGCAATGGATGCGATCGTTAACTTTCGGCTTGATCGCCGACCTCAGTGTTTTCGCGGTTGTCGAATGTTCTTGACCATGTGTTGTGAAAGAACAGCTAACAGTTTCGAGGAGTTTAGAGATGATGTTGAGTAAACTTTCCTCACAGGAGGATCCGTCACCTTTCTTTTGAGTGGGTATGATGACAGATTCACACCATTCAGTTGGAACCTCTCCCTTCTCGGAAACTGAGCTGAGGAGTTTTGTTAACTTCGAAACCAAGGCTGAGCCTCCGTCCGTAAACCGATGGGGACAGCCCGTCTGGGTCGGAGACCTTGTGCCTTTTGAGGTAGCTTATTTCCCGCAAAACCTGCATTTCAGATGGTGGACTTTCATCAACTGGGAGTATTTGCCCATTCTGTGGGAGGTGATAGGTTAGACATCGATGGGGGCCAGTTGAACTGAGCCCCGAAACATTCAGCCCAACTGTCTAGACGGCGTTGCCAATCGGGACTCAGTATGCCATCGGATTCCTCAATTACCGCACTTTAACCTATTTTCCTAGGGCCCGCGTCCCTAATTAGACGGAAAAGTTTGCGACTATTACCGATAGCCGCAGCTTTCTCCATCTCTTTAAATTTTCCTATCCACCATTTCTCGCAGTCATTCCTCAGACTCTTGATGAGTTGGCATCTGAGGGA